ATATTCTTTTTCTCAGGCATATTGAATAATACTGTTCTCAATTTTGTTTCCAATCAAATTACCGGTGAATTTATTCACCGGTGAAAATATTCACCAGTGAATAAATTCACCGATGCGAATTTTGACGACTTCCCTTAGTAAAAAAAACTTATTTTTCTCTTTTTGTACATGAATTATTTTATCAATTAGGTTCAAGAAATTCGAATTTGGCATGAATTACCAACTGAACAAATTGAAAGTATTACGCTCGAAGACGATGTTCGACAGTGGAATGAATGTTACAAAAGAGAAAAGTAATTTAGAGACGTATCTGTAACGGATAGTAACCGGATTATGTAGCTTCGATAGTGCTGATTCGAACCGTTGATGTGTCTAGTCTAGTCACACATTTTTCCTTCATAGGATCAATCTGTTGATAGGGGGCTAATTCAGTGTTGGTTATATTTCTAGTAATAATAAAAGCAACAATCAAGATATTATTCTTGTGAATGAATACGATAAATCAAAACAATGTCGTCTGTTACCAAAAGTTATTGAATCAAAAATACCTGAAGCAATATTGAAAGATGACGAAGGTAAAGAACAACACAAATCTTACGAATTTTTTATATTCATGTTTTTGTTTTCTAAGGTGTAAGTACAATAAAGAAGACACAGTACGATAGTTATCAAAAATATATTAATGATCTAAAACACTCTAATTCAATGACCGATAAACGAGTAACGAAAGTTTTGTATTCACCCGTTTATTACGTATTAGCAGCATCTTCGTGTCAGTTTGGAGAATCGGGTATAGCTGAATTTGGTGAAAATGATGTGAATGTTAAAGGAACTATAATAGATCCAGATAAACCGGAAAGAATCAAAGTAGCCTACGTCACTCAAGGTGATCAGAGGTAAATAACTATAGCATCTATCAAAATATTCATTGTATATAGCTATACGAAATTTTTTTGTATTGTGTTTCTAGAACAGTATTATGTTCACCCAAAATGGCTCATTTTGGACGTTTTTTATTTCGAACATTTTATTATGTTGATGAACTGAATGAGAACGGTGATATAATTCGAGTTAGTAAATATTGAGATTAGAGATTTTTCTCTGATATTTATATTAAAATCATTTTCGTTTCAGTATTTATTTTCTGCTGAATATCCGTACATTTTATCTACACTTCATCATATGGAATTATTAAAAGATTTAACAATTGATCAAAAACGAATTGAATATCTTCGATTTTGTAACATATTTCAACGTATACTTATCACTCATCAGTTAACTGATAGTGTCAAAATAATCATGTACGATGATGATAGAAATAAAGAAGGTTGGATATTTTAACGTTTTTATTTCAAAATCAATATTTATACTAAAATTAAATATTTATTTTGAGAAGAAAGCAAAGCTGGTGCCGTTGATTCAACAGTATTTGAAGCCTATAGTCAACGTATACCATTGTGGGATCAAATTAAATCCGACATCATTAAGTGGAATAGCAAATCAAATCCAGTAGTAGAAATTTCACCAACTATTAAACCAACTGATGACAAAGAGAAGAAGAAGAAGAAAATACCTATTCAACGTTATTTTACAGCTGAAACACAAGCACACAGGCAAATTCAAGAATTCATCGAGTAAACTATTGTTCCTTATTAAGAAAGTTATTTAACATTATTTCTTGTTCATAGACAATTGAAAAAACAGTTAATAGCCGAAGGTATTAACGTAACTGATCCTGAATTAGAACAACGTAAGTATACGAGAAGAGCAGAAGGGTAGGTACCAATAATTGTATTAATTTGGTTTTGTCTGTGTTTTACAGCAACTGATGGCTTTAATCGTATGTTCAATCAAATAGAAGATAATGAGCAAGCGATTATTATATTCACAAAAGACGAAGTATTGCTTATAATTGACTTGACACGATCTTCTGTGTTCTGGAACATGTTGAGGAGCTGCATAACTTTGGTGGCTTCAACTTAGACATGCACCAGTTTTTAACTAGTGTTAGGGCATCCGGGAGAATTGCTACAAATCAGTTATCACGATTCTCTCGGAGCTGTAAAACATCTAATTTTGTAGAAAAATGTTTGCTCTACAAAATGCATTTGTTAAAAAAATTCTAGAATCATTTCTAAGAAAACTTAGATCATTCTAAAATGTACTAAATTACGAAAAAAACCTGTTCGGACAGTTTTTTTTCCGTGATTTAATGTATTTTTGAATACTCCCGAGTTTCCTTAGAAATGATTCTGGAATTCTTTTAACAAATGCATTTTGTAGAGCAAACATTTTTCTACAAAATTAGATATTTTACAGCTCTGAGAGAATCGTGATAACCAATTTGTAGCAATTCTCCCGGATGCCCCAACACCAGTTAAAAACTGGTGCATGCCTACTTCAACTATCGTCGTTTAGGAGATGTCGCTCGAACAAAGGGTCAAAATAGGGCATCTACCGGCCGACAGATTTTTCCTCTCAGAAAACAGGTCGAGAGCTCAGCTGTAAAATGCACAATGAAGTTAGAGTAACGACGTAACAGAGCCGAATTTCTGAATTTTTCTTTGTTTTAATTTCTGAAGGATGTCACTTCAAAACCTTGAAAAAAGCGCAAAAACTGGTATATAACTTTCAACACTGTAAAAGAATGATAGCCTAAATTAAAAATCGATCTGTTACGTTATGCCCGTATGTCTTAGCTTCAATTTAAAAAGAACAATTGGTACATTCTGACTTTTCGTTACGGAGAAATCTGTCGGACAGTGAGTTCGATCTAGCAAAAAAATACGTTTCGAGAAAAATGCAAAATACTTTTTCCTTCTAAAAATTACTTCCTGTTTGATTTGTTTTGATCTTTACGAGTTTTGTAAAGCTCTATATAGGTTTTCGACCATGTAGATTCTGATGCACATATGCTCGCACATGTGTCACGTATGTGTATGTGAACGCTTACTTCACAACACCATTTTTTTTCTTCCTTTGAGTTTCCAGAAAACTTCATGAAAATCCACGAAAATCCATTTTTAGCGAGTAAAAATTAGTGCGTATGGCTATATAACGGGTGAGTCAGATTAAATCGCTGGTTTTTCATAGGTTGTTTTGTCAAGTTAGGCTCGATCATAAAGTTTGGTTGTGGTGCCAAAAGACAGAGAATCTGATGCAGATTTTATTGATATATTCCTTTTTAAATAAGCGTGTACCGTTCTTTTGTAGCATTAAAAGTGTTGGATGCCACAAAAATATCAGTTTTGCACAGTACTGGACTGGATTAAAATGTTATTTGTAATTGTCAAATAATTTTCTATACGTTATTCAAACAAACTATGAAAAATTACAGAAAAATATTTGTTTTTGAGAAGCAAAACCGAATTTTTGAGTAG